AGCTGGCAGCAGGGTTGAGCAACAAAAATGACGCAGCCCTGGGGTGGAAGCCCTGGGGTGGAACCCAGTTACACCTGGGCCTGAACCCTCCCTCTCTGAGAACCCTAAATGGATCTCATCAGCTTTCCTCTGTGAGCAAGGGTGTAAGAAATCTTGCCTAGTTGACAAGACAGGAGAGCAGAATGGTGAAAAGCACCATACCATTGGCCAGGTAGACCTGGATTCCAATCCTTGCTAGAATACTTATTGGCTGTGTGACTGCAGACCTATTACTTAACCACTCTGAACCTCAGTTTCTTGGTAGTAAGCTACCTGCAATCTGTTATCAACTTCCTACGGTTGATGTGGTTACTAGATGGAATGACATATGCAGTGTGCTTGTTACATAGTGAGTAGCCAGCTAATGATGACTGTTTGTGCCTTATTATTTTTTTTATTATCATGTTCAAGTACACCAGAGGCCTATGTGAAGGGAAAGACATGGGCTCTGGATTCAGACCAACCTCAGTGCAAATGCTGGTCTCACATTTTGTAGTTGCTTCTTTGAGGCCCAATTTCTTTATCTGTAAAAAGAGGATAGGTCTGTGGCAAAGGTGAAAGGAGTTAATACAGGAAAAGGGTATCTTATATTACCTGACAATGAGTTATAACCAGTAGGTAACTCTTATCTTCCCATTATCATCATCACCGCTAAAGCATCAAAATCTCTCAGTGACTGGCACCCTTGGCATGTGCAGAACTCCATAGTGGCCTGTCCTTCCCTTTGGGAAGATGGGGTAGCCTTATTTTCCTTAACCATTAGTCCTGTTGGTTCCCCAGTTTTCCTGAGTCCCTCAGGTAGGGCTGGGGAGGTACATGGAATTGACAAGATGGCATCATTGCCCCCCTCCTCTACCTCCTCCTGGCTGCCCTCCTTGATTACCTGGGACGAGCTGGTCTTCCTACCCACTGAAGACTGGGTGAGTTTGGATGCCTTTTCTGCAGGCATCCTTGCTTTTTGCATTTTTTCTTGGCTGAGCCCTGTTTTCCTGTTGTAATCCATTTTTCAATGTCTTAGAAAAACCTGGTATGTAAAGTATTTTTCACTTCTGGGCTCCTTTGCCACTTCATTAAAGTGCTCTGTGTTCAATATCTAAACTTGTTTATGGGGTTGGGGGGATACATTAAGTGACTATGGGCACAGCTCCAAGTCCCAAATTGTTTCCTAGGTGGCTGCTAGTTCACGTAACCGTCCTTTGGCATGAAGCCCTGGACTAGAGAGGTGGTGGGGGTGGGACAATAAAATAGTGGGATTCTTTTCCAGCTCTGTTATCGAACAACTCCATCACCACTGCCCCACAGCAAACATTACTCAGTAGCTTCTGGGTCAGGCATCTGTCGGGATCTGGGAGTAGCGAGAGGTGAGGTCCAGGGAGAACAGATACTTAAAGAGACAAACTGCAAAATAGCCGACTGAGTCAGGTTGGTTTTCTTTCTTTTTGTTTTTTATCTTAAGTCTCTAGAAGCCCATTTGAGCAGCCTTAAGCCCCACAGATGTCCTGTTGCTCCCCTTGGGAAGTGAGCAGCAGAGAGCGGATTTCAGAATGCACTCTCAGGCCTGGTGCTGGGTGGGGAAGTCACGCTCCCCTTCCTTGGCCTGTACTCCGGCCCACAGTGGGTTACAGCACAGCACAGCCTCCATGCTCCTGGAACACAGATCTGCACAGGTCTGGGGTGGAGTGGTTGAGAAGCCCTGGCTGAGTCACCGGCACCCTCACCACAGCCACTCTACATTTCTCCCAAGGTGCTGTGGGTCTCATGCCCAACCCCCGCCCTCCCCGGACTAGTACCTCGGTCCCACCCTATAGAAGATGGTGGGGCAGGACCATGGAGGTGGGGTGTGGATGCGGGACCATGAGCCAGCTGCCCCTCTGCAGCCCCAGTGCCTGCTCCGTTGTCCCACTGGCATTTACTTAACACAGATTCAAAGATAAGTGTGAAAATTGAAGATGGCAAGCACACAGCTTTGAAGCCCAGGCCCTTGGGCTTTCAGACCACCGGACCTTTATGAAGACAGGACCCTTTGGGGCAGAGGGCCTGTGTGACTGCTCATTTCCAGAAGAAAAGATTATTGGCTCAGTTTGAGGCCCAGGTGGGGTAGGGGCAGGAACCAGGCTGTTCAGTTAGGCTGGACGATGCAGGTCATGGTCAAGGGTGGGAGTTGGATGTCAGGGCACAGATCCATTAAAAGAGGCAGACTGTTCTGAGAAAAGGTGCTGTGGACCAAGCTGATGCAGAAGAGCCTTATCCAACTAGCACGTGCAGAATAAAAATGGGGACCTTTTTTCTAGCTTATTTATTCAACTGTAAAATGAGAAGAAAATCTACCAAAAAATGCCTAAAGGTATAAGACCTTTTAAAAGGTGTTTAACTTCCTGGAAAATTAGAACTGTGTGTGACTAATTGATTTTGATTATAGGACGAGGGAGAAGGGAGGACTAGATGATGCTTGAGTCCTCCTTTTAGCCCCAAGTTTTTGTTAGTCTTATTTCCGCCCAAGCTGCAAAATTTCCATGCTGTGTATCGTGAGAATTTTTAAAAAGAATGTTTTCTTTTCCATTTCTCTACAATACGCAAATAACTTCTCTTTCCTGAAAACAAATTTTTTTTCCATATGTCTCCTTGAAGGGGGAAGAACTAGGAAGAGTAGGAAGAGAACTTAGGTCGTTCTTAAAAATTTAGCCTTTCAGATACAGACTAAAGTCATTTTTAACCAATGAAGAACATAGCAACAGATTTAGGGACCCTGTATCATTTTCTTACCCTCTTAAAAATATTCTCTCTTGATTTCTTAAATATATGGTGTGGTCTTTAACAGACCACATAATAGATATGCTCAGCTAATGTTTACTAGCACCTGCTGTGCTCTGGGCGCTGTTCTTAGAAGCGGGACTAGTAACATAATGGTCTTCACCCCTAAGGACCTAAAATGCTGATACATAGGATCTAGGGTGTCTGGACTAGATTTATATTCTCTTGATGCCTTGGTTTCCCCTTTATCCCTTTAAAATGGGTAAGGTTATAGATAAGTGATGAAACAAGATGATGAAAATTGCATCTTAGAGGGCATCTCTGTAGGTCTGCAGGTGCTTCTGGCAACATGAAATTCAGGAGGGTTTGTGAAATTTTTTTGGATGAAGACTTTGAATGCAAACTTTGGATGTCACTGTTCACATTCAAGGTGGTGGGAGAATAAAGACAAAGGAGCCCTTGCAGAGCACTAAGGGAACATTCTGGGAACTTTATCCAGACCAGTGAAAGGCACCCAAGTGAGGACTTCTGGCCCCAGTTGGAATTTTTGCTCAGAAGCATTCAATGGTATGGTAACCATCTGGAAATACCTCTGCAATCCATTCCTGTCCCACTCAGCCATCAACAGTGTCTTGTTTTTGATAGTCTAAATGTGGTTCTGTGCTGTTTCCTTGCTTTTGACCCAGAAACTACTAGGATTTGTTAGCTTGACTGGAAGATAGCAAACACAGTAGGGTTTCTCCTTAATTACTGTCCTTTCCATAATTCTTTGTAAAGGAATTGATTTTCTTTAATGGAGTTAGTATACTCCTTGAAAGTGTCACTCTTAACATTGATTTGAGGTTCCCTCTGCCATCTTGAAATTAAAAGGTGACCAATTACTACTTTAAATTAGATCATATCCTATGAATTTTAAAAGGACCTATAAAACGTGCTTTATATGTGTTAGTCCCAGAATGTGATGGTATGTTCGATAAAATATTTTAATATGTTTGATGTAAGCCCACTCATTACCAACTCTCTTTACCTCCTACTTTTTTTGTGAATAGTTGGTCTGAGAGGGCAATTATTATCGCTGCCCACTACCACTAATTTCAAAGGACAGAAAACACCTACTGTGTGTTTGCAATTATAATGATGAATTCTTTATGATGTTTCTGGTATCACACTGTTTTACAAATGAGGAACTTAAGACTCAGGGAGATTATATCCAAGATCACATAGCTGGAATGTGTCCATGCTAGGACTTGAACTCCTGTCTGATACCCAAGTTCTTTCTACTTGTGCCAACAGGGTGCCAGGGTTTTTTAAAGGAAGATACCAAGAAATGTGTTTAAGGTTTTTTGTAAGATATGTATCACCTTGGACTCCCCCAACCCCATCAGTGTAGACCCTTGATAATCTGATAATGTGTGATGAGTGGAGAGGCATAAGCCTCTCTGCTCTCTGAGCTTCTGTAACTTGTGCAGAGGCTGCTTCATGCCTTGCAGGACCAAGTCATGGAGATGGGTGGGAAGTCTTGCTGGAAGGGAGCAAAGCACAATGAAAAGAACTTGGTTTCTGTAGCCAGGTGGGCCAGTTCTGTCTCCTGTGGGCTAGTTTCTTCTTAAGTCATCAATGAAATAGCTGTAATAGCACCAACCTGGGAGGATTCTAGGGAGTTTGGAATTAGGTGAGACAAACTCTGAGATAGACACTGAACACTCAACACTTGTTAGTTACAATTGCCAAAGTCTGCATCTTTTTCCACAATTCTTCCATGCACATGCTCATTGATGGACACGTGGAGCTGTAGAAGCTTCTATAGACAGTCTCTCACATACTGAGGTGGGAATCCCTAAATTTGACATCTTTAGAAAAATTTATTATTTCTGCATCATTTCCCATTACTTCAGTGCTTCCTTTTCTGAGTTTAGAGTAAGGGCTTGAAGGAGTCCACCATTGTCCTTCCAAAGCTTCAGTCAAGCCTATGGCTGGCCCTTCCCTGGTCAGAGGATGGGGTTTGTGGTTGGGTTTGGCACTTGTATTGCTCTTTGGTGCTGAGCTGCCTCAGTGTCTTCTCTTGAGCTTTGGCTTTTCAAGGGGACAAAAAGCTTACCCTTGGAAACATGACCAGCACACAGTAGTTCCTTGAACTCCGTGCCCTCGCCCAGTAGGTTTGTCACGCTGTGAAGTAGCCCAACTTTGTGTTCTCTGTTCTCTTTTGGCAGAACCAGCTTCTTGCAAAAGGACTGTTGTTTGTGGAGGAGAAGATTAAGCTGTGTGAAGGCAAGTACGAGGCAGCCCTGTTACAGCGGGGCCCCTGTGACTCAGCCTTTGATGTTTGGACAGCTGAAGCGCTTCTGTCCAAATGTGGCAGGCTCCAGGGGGTGACTCACCCTGGCCGTTGCTTCTCAGGCTAGGCGGCAGCACTCTGCTTTGAGTCAGCACTCAGGGAAGTGCAAGTCAGAACTAGGTTTTGAAAGGTGAAGTCGAATTGGGGAGGAGTCCTTGGAGCATGCGTGCCAGTGGTCTCCTTTGAAGGAATAAATTAGCCTGCAGATCCTGCTATGCTGGTCCCTCTGGTCTGGTCCAGGCTATTTCCTATAAGCTTTTAAAAAATTTCTTAAGGTCACACATGACAGGAGACTTTCCCATCTGAGGTACGTTAGGCTAAGCAGGCACCCATTGCTAAGGTACGATTTGACAGACAGGAAAATCTCCTGACCTTAAAAGATGTTAGAACTTAACTGACAAGAATGGAAGACACTGAGGTAGAGGAGGGAGATGGGCCAGAGGAAAGAATCAACCAAACCATGACTTCACCGAAGACCACTCAGCCCCCACCACTGTGGGTCCAGATCTTAACTCCCACCTACTGCCTGGTGACTTGGGCAAGCTTCTAGTTTCTCTGAACCTTCTGGGAGTGATAATAAAAAACTCTGTATAAGGTTACAAACCCATGTTGCAGCAATATAAAAAAGTAAAAGACAAAGAGAAAAGGATAAAGTGGAGCCAGAGAGTGTAGAGGGTAGGGAGCACATACCCACATCTGTACGTGACACATGAGGGGTGTGCAGGCCGCTCTTTTTTCGACTCCAGCCTAGAGACTTCCATCTGTCCAACTTACTTCTGGACCCAGATTTATTAGACATTAGATCACCGTTCTTTTCTTACTCACTGGAAAAGTGACTTGTGTTTAGTGAAAGTGGTTCCTAGAAAGACAAAATAGCAAGAAAAATGAGAAACTGACCCTGGGAGGTTCCAGCACCTGGCACCCAGAGAGTGTTCAGAGGGAGAGGTTGGAGACTGACCTCTGTGTTCTTGAGATCCTGCCCGAACCTGCAGCCTGTCTCCCTTGAGCATGTCTGTTCTGCGACTTTTTCAACCTTATCACTCCCCACCCACCCAAGGCTGTTTTTGGAGTGATTTGCTTTGAACTAAGGGGCCTTTTTGCATTTTGGATTCAGGCCAGTGCACAAGTGTGAAAGGCAGTGCCTAGTGAAGGAGGGAAAAGCAACGTGGTGCCTGGCCACGTTATTTATCTGTAAATCATTTCAGGAATTGTGACATGCTCTTGGCAATGTGGAAAACCCAGCTTTTATCAAAAGGCCAGTGAGCAAAACTGGAGATTCAAGTGCCCTTGAAGGGAAAGCTGCCAGGTGACTCTTAACATAGATACATCAGTGAGACTCCAGAAGGGGCTGGATGGAAGAAACAGTGGTCACCCAGGATTCTGTGCCCCTGCCGCCCACATGACCCGAGAGACCTAGATCCCTGAGGTGCTCCCAGTGGGCGTCCTCTAGTCCTGGGGTCTGGGTGTCAGGGTCCTTTCTGCACAGTGAAGGGGCATGCGGGGAATCTTAAAGAGACTTTCATGTCTTCAGCCAGAGTGTAGTGTCTCTTATCTCTACTCTTCATTTTATATCACAAGTCTAAGAAAGACCTTGTTTGAAAAGGATTCTCTTGCTACAAAATATAGTTGGGAAGCACCTGATTGGCTCCCACCTCTCGCTGACCAGACTTCACTTTATTGCCCTATTTCTTGTCTCCACGCCCGCCTGTGGCTACAGAAAGGACAGAGGCAGCCCTGTCCACCTGTTCTGCTTTTGTGGGCAGGAGGTACCACATTACCATGAGTCACCTTTTCCTAGTGTATTAGTGATCTTGACCTTAAAGGAATTTCCTGAGCTGGTTCTATACAGTTCTGGTCATCTAAACATCCATGGTAACTTAGAGGACAGTTTTTATAGGATAATCATCTAGAAACTTCCATCCAGCCCCCACCCCACCCCACCCCACCCCCAGCATCATTGTAAAGAGCTAAGTCCTTGACTTGTGGGCTGTTTCTGGAGGTGAAGACACCTCCTTCCTTTAACTCTTTCTTCCCCGGGGATTACCCTGTTTTGTTAGCCTGTGTCTGTCTGATGTTCTTCTCTGAACACTTTCCAAAACCTCCATTACTCTCTGAAGTTTGCAGCCAGCAATTAGATCCAGGTTCCCAGAAGGCGCCACTGGACTGCCGGAGGGATTACCTCATGTGCCAAGGAGGTCCCCATCGTGGTGGTAAAGGGGAGTGGGTACACACCTGCACTGACCTGCAGAACCTTCCTTTCCTTGCCCATGTTTGGGCTGCAGGGCCTCTGTTTGTCTTGTAATGAAAGGCTTCAGAGAAGAGCCTTCAATAAAGGAGCTGGACTAGCCTTTTCTCCTTTGGGGTACATTGTGCAGGTGTTGGGGTCCAAGTTAGGTACCAGAGTGACCTAACACTTCAGCTGGTCTTTCGTGAACTCCCTAATTCCTCCTTGTACTAATTAGATAGCTTATATTTGAAAAGGGGAAGGCAATTCATTGGTCTGTTTAAATACTTATTGATTCCCTATTATATGCCACATACTTTGCTAGGTAGAGAACAAAACCCTTCATAGGATTATAGGCTCTCCTGGAGCTCACAATCTGATAGTGACGGGTAGGTAATAATCGGATCATCACCAAATATAATACAACCACCAGGGCAGGTATTAAGAATATCTGGAATTTGAGGGATTTGACCAATGGGGCAAGACATTCCTATGGAGATCCTCAAGTTGAAACTAGAAAGGTAAGCAGGTGTAGGTTAGGCCAAAAGAAGAGGGGAATAGTGAAGGCAGAGAAACAAGCACATGCAGGGGCACTGTGGCATGAAAGAGCATGTGAGTGTGAGCGCTAAAATAAAATCCACATAGTTAGGGCTCAAAGACTGAGTGGAATACAGAAAGGATGAAGACACGAAAGGAGACAGACTCTCCGTCCAGGTCAGCCTTGTCATAGAGCTTTTCTTTATCATGAGAGCAAAGGAAAATATTCAAGCTAGCTAGTAAGTCCCATATTAGGGTTCAGTGGTAACCTCCTTCCACTTACCAACTTTAACATCCCCAAAAACCTATGCACTTGATACCTGCCATTCATTCATTCATTCATTCATTCCAAGATTTCTCAGGATTGATTTATCTATATGTCTGGCCCTGTGCTAGACACTGGATACACAGTGGTGAGTGGGATAAAAACGACCCTCACTCCCGTCCTTTGGGAGGGGCCTGGGAAGTCATGGAGCTATTCCAATAAAGTGCAATCAGCACTTTACGAGGAGAATAGAGGGAGCCATGGATTTGCATTTCCCCCAGTGTGTTTCACACTGACCTTTCAAAGTCTGCAGGGCTTTTGGCCCTGCTAGCTACTAGTCATGCCTTTGTTCTCTCTTTCTCCCAGCCACAGCTTTTATTGCCCATTAAATTAATAGATGGAAGATGCTAAATGAATCTTTCAAGATTTGTTCAGTGGAACTGGCAGTGTTTTGCCAAATGCCTCTCTCAGTGACTAATTTTGGCTGACCCAGTTTCTCTGCCTCTGATGAGCAAAGACAGTGCCCAATCAGTTCTGTTTTCTAGGCCATTAAACAGCCTCCTCTCTGCTAGGGCCCACCTTTCCTGCAGGTGGAAAGTTCACTGGGTGACCTGTGTATGTCTGACCTGGGGTGGAATGTGGCCGTCGTTTAGGCTTCCTGACGCTGGGGCTGAGAGGAGCTTTGCAGGTGACCTCTCCTGAGCTTTGCAGGTGACCTCTCCAGGATTACTGTACAGCAGTGGGTGGGGTGACAGTTGCTGGCCCTCTCAACTGACAGCTCAAACCCAGAATAAAAATCCAGTATCTTAGTGATTAGAAAACACTATATAACTGTGCACTTGATCTTCCCAGATTATGTTGGTCAAGAGCATACGTTCTGGAAATCCAGCTCTTCTTTCTAGCTGTTAACTTGCCCTCTGAGCCTGTCAAAAGGGGTATAGAGTGATATCTACTCCTGAGAGAGTTTATAGATGAGTAGTCTATCACAATTGCCTGCTAACATAACCATTGTCATGATAATAGCAATTATTGTGTGATTTTCAAATTTTTGAAATTTCAAGTTGAAATTTCACATTTCAATTCCTTTTCTGGTTTGGGGATTGAAGGTATGTTTGTATAATCTCAGTTGGATCTTCCCACCCAGTCCCACTTAACCCCATGGGCAATGAATTCTCTTTCTCTCTGCCCCCCAAAAGCTCCATTTCACATCAACCTGTCCTCTGGCCTCTCCTGCAAGTAATGACAAGTTATTTTCTTTCTTTCCCTCCCTGCCCCCACCCTCTCGTCTTCCTGTAGGTGAAAATCGCATTGAGGTTCTGGCTGAAGTCTGGGACCACTTCTTCACTGAGACTCTCCCCACTCTGCAGGCAATATTTTACCCAGTTCAGGTCAGTCTCACTGGGGAGCGACCTCCCGCTGTCCTCAGCTCTCTGTCTTATTTTTGGGCCTTCAAAATCTGGAGCCTCCTGGTAACTGGAGGGAACCAGGAGATGGGATGCTTGAGTTGAAGGACTCTGGAGATCTTTGGAGGGCTCTCTGGTTCTATATTTAGTGTCTAGCCTCAAGCAAAAAAGAGCGCCTGCATACCTAGCAATTTGTCAGCTTCCTCACCCACTTGGTTCTGAATATGTCTTCATGTTCTTGGAGTGGTTTGCTTTTTCTTTTCAGAAGTAGAGAGTAGATCGGGAAGAATATTTAGTGTGTTTTTTTTTTTCTTTCCTTCCCCTTTTTTTCTCCCCCCACACCTTTTTTTGAAGCACAATTAGAAGCAAGTTCCCTGCTGCTTCCACAATGTAGGAAGGGAATACTGTGCCTTGTCCTCCATTAAAGATGAAATGCCGGGCCTCCCCGGTGGCGCAGCGGTTGAGCGCTGGGTTGCAAAGCTGCCTGCGGCCTCTGCAGCGCCTGTTCAATTCCCGGCTGCTCCCCGGCCACTGGAGGAGGGTCCCACATGGCGCGCAGACCTCTCCTGCCGCCCGCTGCTCCCCTCAGCAGTGTACTTCGGTCCTTCTGCCTGCTCTGCTCCCCGCTCTGGCTCTGGTGAATTCTCTCACCCTCCTGCACTTCTGACTGTACCCAGTGCTTGTATAAATAAATAAAAAATTAAAAAAAAAAAAAAAAGATGAAATGCCACACACTGCCGCAGAAAGCAAGCCTGGACTTGGCCTTGGTAGTGTGGGTTTGGGGAAAGCTACCACGTTGAATTTCTCTGAGCCTAGCTCCTTTTCTCTTCCTGCATAATGAGGGATTTAGAAAAAAGCCAAGCCATAGTCTAATTCCGTGAGCTCAGCTCCTTCAACCAGGAGGCTCAATTTCCTTCTACCTTCCTGCAGAGGCTAATAGAGGGACTGCTCACTGCCAGGGACACCCCCTGAGGCAGGTTGATGAATAGCTCTTCCTACATCTCACACTTGGGCTGCTCTGGGCTCACCAGCCCACTCCTTCCATGTCGGTGACAGCTTTCTACCTAACCTAACCTAACCTGGCTTTGCTGAAGTTTGGGCGTGGGGCACAGCAGTGATGCAGCTCTCAGCCATGGCAAGATTACCTCGTGCCAGAGGTAAGGCGCCACGTGCTTTGTTTACTTGAATGATGGTCTAAAGGAATTTGAAATTCTTTTAAATGTGTGTGTTAAATGTTTACAGATTAGGAGGTTATACCTGCAGTCTACTTCCCATGTTAGGCCTGCCGCTGGTGACCCCAGTAGACTATCCTGCTGCCCACTGCTCTTGTCCTCCATCCTCGGCTCCACCCTGTGCAGGATAGGATTTACAGCATTTATGTGGACAGTTCAGTCCCTGTGCCCGCAGACCTCTCCTTGCCCTGCAATAGTCTCTCAGCCAGTAGTGGATGTTCTCATAAGAAGACAGACCTGGGACTAGGGATGCCAGATTTAAAAAATAAAAATATGGGAGGCCAAGGTAAACTTGAATGGCAGATAAACAATGAATAATGCAATATTTGGGAAATACGTATACTAAAAAAAACTACTTAAATTTAACTGGACATCTTATCTGGCTGTATAATGAGAGGAAGTTGTGCGGACCTGAGTCTCTCTTAGGACCATTTGGGCAGGGCATCTAAAGTGTAGGTATTCAGGTGGGTGTAGAATGGGAGCGTGTAGAAGCTGGGTTGATTTGGCTCTGAATTTAATCCTGGGGGGCCAATAAGGGCCCTCTGCATTTCCTCCAGAGCCAAAGGAATCTAGTGGCACGTGGCTAAGGATAGCACTGTCCTGCTTCTCTTGAAAAAAAGTAAGATCTCGTCATATTGGTATTGCCCCCATCCACCACCCCCCTATGACTTCCCAAGTGATACTGCTGCTGCTGATCCAGACACCCCACTTTGAGAGCCACTATGAGGGGTTCTCCCTACTTGAGGTGTCTGTTAGTCCAGCTAGGCCCTTCTCACAGTTTTCTGTGTGTGTCTGTGTCTGAGAGACCTGCTTCCTGGGTGCACAGTGCTTTTGAGTGCCCACTTTGTTCAAGGGTGTGGAACTTTGCCTCCCTTTTCCTACCTTGGTGAAGTGAAAGGCACCCTGGAGATGAAGCTAAGACACAGAAAGCTATGCGCAGCAGTCACTGAGAGAGCTGGGTGCAAAAAAATAGAAAGTGTAGGAGCTTGGAAGGGGCTGGGGGAGAAGCTGCCCATGGAGCTGGTTGGGGAAGGCTTTCCAGAGGGGGTGGCTGAGCTGAGCCTGAAAGTGTGGCTAGTGGTGTGTGTGTTCCTTGGGACTCACCTGCAGGGGAAGGCGAAGATGGCCAAACCATTCTTGCCTGTGATTCAGCAACCTAAGAAGTTAAACCATGAATCTCCCTTAAACCTTGGCAGACTCAAGGGATGGGATGTTTCATCCTGTTTGGAGGGGACCTCAGGGACATCTGATTCTAGAAAGAGCAACAATTTTGGATGTATGCTGTATATACAGGTACAAAGGAGAGCCTAGGAAGTTCCCTTTTCCTTTTCTGTTTTGAGAACATTGGGAGCTTACAAATTATATACAGCTGATCCAGAACAAAAAACGTCTGAACTCTCATTTATTCACGGATCTTTTTTTCCTGACTCAAGCATTCTGCATTCTCCTATTCAACCATCCCCATGTGTTGAATCCACACATACAGCACCTGCAGATAATGAGGGCTGATCTGACTTACACATGAATTTTCCACTGTGCGGGAGGTCACATTCCCTAACCCTGCATTGTTCTAGAGTCAATTGTATGTGATTAGGTTTAAAATCCAGCTCTATTTGGGTAAATTGCTGTCACTTTGGGCTTTAGGGTTTTGGACATGTAAAGTGAGTTTTATGATCATATCTACCTCAAAAGGGGTTCATTTTATTTACATCTAAACTATTGAGAATCATACCCAAGCACATAGACTTTAATCAGCTCTTACAATCACTTGTTTTTGTCCTCTGTTCCCCGCACGTGGTTGAACAAGCCCCTTTCCATTTATTTTCCCAATTATTTTTCCTCCTAAGTTTCTTTTTTTTTAATAGATTGATTGATTGATTGATTGATTGATTGATTGATACAAGCACTGGGTACAGTCAGAAGCGCGGGAGGGTGAGAGAATTCACCAGAGCCAGAGCGGGGAGCAGAGCAGGCAGAAGGACAGAAGTACACTGCTGAGGGGAGCAGCGGGCGGCAGGAGAGGTCTGCGCGCCATGTGAGACCCTCCTTGGGTGGCCGGGGAGCAGCCGGGGATCGAACCGGCGCTGCAGAGACTGCGGGCAGCTTCTCAACCCAGCGCTCAACCACTGCGCCATGGGGGAGGCCTTCCTCCTAAGTTTCTTTTGTCTATAAATGAGTCTAAGGGGTCTGAGGTTTTCTAAGGGGGCACATGATGGCTGCTCAGATCTGTAACGATGCAGTCGAGGCTGCAGTCTTGAATGTGAGGAGGTGGGACTGATCTCCTTTCTCCCTGTCTTCCTCACCATCTAGCAGCATGGCCCGATGACAGGTGTCTCGTGTTACCTTGAGTCAATTAGGCAGGGTGAGTCGCATCTTACCATCATCAGTGCTTTCATTCTCAAAGACAGAGTCAAATCTTTGACGCCCTGACAGCCCCAAGGGGATTTGGAGACACCTCGTCCTGTCCTGTCCCATCCCAGCTGCTCTGTACACATCATTATCCTGACCCCATGTGGTTGGCGGCAGGTCCACCTCCTGACCCCGCCTATTCTCTCATTTTCAGGGCCAGGAGCTGACCATCCGCCAAATCTCCCTGCTGGGCTTCCGGGACCTGGTCCTGCTGAAGGTGAAGTTGGGGGACCTGCTGCTGCTGGCCCAGCCCCAGCTGCCCTCATCCATTGTGCAGATGCTGCTCATCCTACAGGTGAGGCAGGTGGGGATGTGACCCCAAGGCCAAGGGCGGGGAAGAGAGACGGGACTGCCCCTGCAGGGAGTGGGGGAGGGGACCACATAACTGGAGCATCTCAGCTTAATTTGGCATCTTTAGTCAGTCACGATCAGGTCTTCATTTGCTGCACATCCAGAGCACCTCTGGGGTCCCTGTGCAGTGCTGGAAGCTGGGATTCTGGTGGGGAAAGGGAGAAGCACAGTCCTGTCACCCAGGAAGTGGACGTGCCTCTCGGCCGGCATGCCAGGGAGCCACATGGCAAGTGACAACAGGAGCCCATTGCAGCCCAGCTCGAGCCACACCAGGGGCTCATTGGCAGGTTCAGGGGGCAGGCGGGCTTCCTAAGCGACCTGAGACAGCTGTGACCAGGAGCAAAACCAGGTCAGACTACAAAGTTGTCAGCCTTTGAGTGGAGACCACTTAACGGCCTCTGCTTGTGTGTGGTCTCCCTTGCCTTGATTCGGTCTCCTTGGACTTGGTGTCTTTCTCCTTCTCTCAGCTAAGTTGTGGTCTGTGCTTTGGTTTGTGCCCCATTAAACATTGGCACCCCACAACTTGTATGCTTCCACCATCAATGAGCTGGGACTGAACCTGAAAGTTTGCCCCATGTGGGGATCTGGTTCCTTCCAGCAGGGAGTTGGCCAGATCCTAAGGTCACCCCAGAATGGTGCCTTCCAAGGGGACCCACCTACCCAGGCAGCAGGCAGGGTGTGCAACCCAAGCGTTTTCATTTTGCACTGGGCCTTGCAGATCCACAGCTAGGTAGGCAGCCAGAAGAGGGCTGAGGGCAGCTCCTGCATGCAGGGCCCCCCAAGCCAAGTTCACAGCAGCTACCCTGGGAGAAACCATCGCTCACCAAGTCATGTGTTCCTCTTCCATTTTCTACCACCTTTTACCTCTTCTCCTTTCTACGTCATCAGTTAGCTTAATGCTTATGAACTGTAGTAGGAAAAGGCTTGTGGGGAGAATCTGGCAGATGGGAAATATCAGGAAGGGGAAAATAATGAAAAAAAAAAATCCCCTCAGTTCTGAGGCCCCAAATACTTTGATTTGAGTGAGGCCTGGGGTGAATCCCCAGGGGCATGAATAGGACCCTCTCTCCCTTCACAGCCTTGAGATTCCCTCCCTCTGGGCGGGTGTGTGCCTCCCTGGCTTTCCCCTTGATTTTCTGAGCAGAACTGCAGCGAAGCAAGCCTGAGTCCCCATCTGTCTTCTCCCAGCACGCGTTAATAGGTGTGAGGGCCTCAGACCAGTGCCTGGCACACAGCATTGTCTAAGTGCTAGTCATTAGCATTGCTGATGATTTTTCAAGAATCGGGCTATACTCAAATGCCGGCCAGTGAGAACAGGAAGGGCAGGGAGACATTTCCCGGCTAGTGCCTGAGACATCACACGATCCTCGCTTATAGGCCACCACACAAAAGAGGGTCAGGGATAGAAGGTGCCAGAGAATTTTCTGTCCTCTGTCCCCAGATCCCATCTCTCAGTTATCAGTAGTGACATATCACGTTGATGACCATGTACCATGTCTCAGCTGAAGTGCTGTTCCGCGGGGCTGAGGTCCCCTCACATTGTCTCTATCTTGTCCCATTTCTGCTGACCCATTTCCAGTCCCAGCTTCCAGGTCTTCTGTACCCTTCTCAGATATGTTTCTTTGTTTGTTTCCTTAAGTGACTCAACAGGGGTCCCTCCCTCCCAGGCCCCCCCCCCCCCAGCTCAGACAGGTCTCCCTGTGACCAAGCCTCTTTCCTGGAGAGCTTTCCCCTTGGCCAGTCACCCGCCCCCCTGTCAGAGTCCCTTCCACTTCTGGCCCAACCATCTTCCCTGTGGTCCACCCAAACTTCAGTGGTGGGAGTCTTCACTTTTTTTTTAAAGATTTATTTATTCTTGCATACAAAAACTGGGGTACAGGCCAGAGGTGCGGGGGGTGAGAGGATTCACCAGAGACAGAGTGGAGGACAGAACAGGCAGATGTACTGAAATACACTGCTGAGGGGAGCAGGGGCGAGACAGGAGAGGTCTGCTGCACCATGTGGGTAGCTCCCTGGCCGGGGATCGAACTCATGCTGCAGAGGCTGTGGATAGCTTCATAGGTTACGTCTTAACCCCTTGCACCACCAGGAAGGCCCCTGTCTTCACTTTTTAAATGAAGGTGATTAAATCTGATCCATTTGGAGAAGCTGACAGGACATCCCGTTGGGCTGAGCATAACCCCATGGAGTTTGTCTCTCCGCTTCCCTGCAGCCCCTAAACATAAGAGTGTGACCTCCAGTCCTCTGTGGCGAGGGCCCAGTTCCCTAGGAGTCTGCTGCTTTTCTAGAAAACATGGGTTACTTCACTGGCTCCTTCCTGCTTTGAGTGTTGCGGTCATTTGGTGTTTCCTCGGGGCTTATCTCTGGGGGCGCCTGTCATTCTAGGCTTTTGAACTGACTATTCATGGGTTGCTAAATGCGTGTCTAGTTCCAGAATGACTCTCCCTTTTCTTCTACTTTTCGGGACTTACCCATATCCTGGCCCCTTTCTTTTCTGGCACTAAATGGCAATAAGATGGACTCAGTGCCTGGGTCCAATCCCAAGTCTTTGAACATTTACCAGCTGTGTTTTCCTGGGCCAGTTACTTGAGTTATCTCCATCTTAGTTTTCTTTTCTCCAGAAGGGCCATAATAAAAGTGCCACTGTCCTTGGGTTGTCAGGAGGCCTCTGTAGTGATTGACATGGAAATGCTGATGTGATGCGCTTATGTAAAGTGCCTGCCTGCTGAGTGTGAGGGGTCAGCATGATGGTGGGGGTGGGATGACATCATCAGGACCAATCAGATCTTAACCCTGCAGTTGGGCGGGATGGAACAGTGCTGCCCATGCTGCAGAGGTGGGGACCATGCACCCCAGCCTTTGCATCTGTCACACACAGTCCTAATCATGGTCACCCATGACAAGAGACTTGGACCTCAGGCCTCTGGGTCATCTAGCCATGCAGATGCCACCTGGGAGGACCACAGCCGTGGACGCAGGGTGATCAGATGTGTTGACTGAGGGCCAGTTGCCTCTGTCTGACCTCTGTTTCTCTTCATGTTCATTTCCAGAGTGTTCATGAGCCCACAGGCCCAAGTGAGGCATATTTACAGCTGGAGGATCTGGTGAAGCAAGTGGTTTCTCCCTTCCTTGGCATCAGTGAGGACCGTGGTATCTCAGGCCCCACATACATGCTAGGTAAGGCCATGGCTGGCGCTGCAGGAGCCGCTGTAATAACTTGTGTTTTACTGATCATGTGCCCAGGCCTTTGGTCCCCACGTGGGTCCCTGCAAATCTGTGTATGTTTATCATTCACATTTCCTGGCTGACCCATGTTGCGGTAACCTCCCCACTTGGGGCTTCCTCCCTGGGGACCAGTAGTGGGTCTTTGTGGTGGTGCTTGCCTGATCGGTGGCTTTGATATTTCACCTGTGCCTGGGATGTTAGTTTTCCTGTAGCTGATATTAGAAACCAAACCTTATTGCACCCTCTTTCCCATGGACTGGACACTCTCCCACCCCGCCACAATGTGTATATCTCTTTGAAAACTGCTCAAAATGTGAAGCCAAAATGAGTATATGATCAACAAGATCGACCCCACTGTTCCCTACTCTTATTTATTGCCAGAGTCTTCATTCAAAGGAAAGTCTCCTGAATTTTGGGACAAATCCCTATGGAGCCTTTGTCAATGCCTGTACGTCAAGCATTAGCATCAGGCTCTGAACTAGACAATCTGGCACTGAGTTGGATCTGTTCCTTGTTTCAGGGAGACCACAGTCTAGATGGGGAGACGGCTTTATAATAAGGCTAGTCCTGAAAGACAGCCTACAGTTACCCTCTGAAATTAAGTCCCCAAAATATAGGACCGTTTTGTTTCTTGTTCTGTCTCCAGCAACTGGAAGTGTGCTTGGCAGATAATAAGCACTCAAAAAAAAAAAAAAAATTGTTGGCTAGATAACAGGCAACTGTAGCCTGATGTCAAGGTGACCAGCACCCAGACAGGGGCAGAAACAGAGAGACATCCCCCAAATTTGGAACCTTTTGCCCCCTCTTCTTGCTTAAATGAAGATTCCCACCCCTTCTTGCGCCAATCCCCTGCAGAAAAAGGCAGTTTTCACCACCCGCACATGTTTCTCTGGAGACACCACCATAACCTCAGCCACCACAAATCAGAGGGTACTGGCTCCAGCCTGCTGCCTGCCAGGTCCTACGTCCCCCACCCCTCCTCCTTCACTTACTCATTCTCCCAGGACCGGCAACAAAGCATAGTTGAAATGACAGCCGCCAGGAGCCCACCTTCCTGCTGCAGCTCAGCCTGCGGGCCTGGCTTTCTGAGTGTGGCGCAGGTGGACAGGGCTATGAATGGGACTCCACCACCAGCTGGACCTTGAACCCCAACAGGCTAGATTTGTAAGTGTGTTCAGTGAGGACTTGCTCTCAGGGGACGCCTCCAACTTTCTAGCTAAACTAAGAATAACACATTTATCACATTAAGCAAAGGCCTAAGGTTTTTTTCTTGCACCAAGGACAATCCTTTTCTAGGGGGTGCTCCTCACTGCACCTACATACCCAGGCATGTTTGATCCCCTGGGGGTTCTTAGGAGGTCTCTCTTCTTGCCAGCCAAGCCAGTGGTTTGAGGAGTAAAGCTCATCGCTCTGGATGTGGATATACAAGGCTCACTTCAGAGGTTAAAGATGAGTTCAAGGCCTTGGAGAAGTGAGTGTGTGTGTGTGTTTGCACGCGTGCATGTGTGTATGCGTGTGTATATGTGCATTCTCCCATCCAAAGCTGTCACTGTTCTAGGACAGAGCAAGAATGGGAGTATAGAGGAAGATAATGAAATGTTAAAATTTAGAACAGGCAGATTTGTTAGAGACCAGGCCTGTGTCTCTGTCTAGTTCCTGAAGTTTCCATGCAGCTGTCCTGGCTGCTTCCAGCCCCTCAAAGTGAACACTCAGCCTGGTTTCTCCCATGCAGGAGCCCTGGCCTCCTCCTCATCTTCCTCCATTTTGTCCCCCGGGGAGGGCCGTATTCCTCAGATACTGTAGCGTCTCCTCTTGACAAACAGGCATTCGTGGGCTTTCAGGTGCCTGGGCCTGGAGACCGGGTGGTGAAAACTGCATTTTTCTGCAGGGGAGAGGCGCAAGAAGGGGTGGGAATCTCCTTTTCTTTGAAGCTCAGCTATGGGCTTGGTGCACAGAGGTCACAATGGCTGCCCCTGTTCCTGTGAGATCAAAGGGCTGGGAACTGAGTTCCCAACAAAGCCCCCTTCCTGCCCCCCAAGGACGCCTCATCTAGGCTTTGCTTCTTTCTGGGGGTTTGAAAGAAGCTGCCATTGCTGGCTCTGGTGCAGAGAATAAACCAGCCAGAGCTCAGTGGGGCGCCTGGTGAGTGAGGAAGGAATGCAGGCCCCCCTCACCCCACCCCGTGTGAAAAGCCAGGAGGCCTGGAGGTAGGTACAGGCTGAGGAGGTGGGACCCAGACCCCACTTCTGCCTCTCTCCTTCCTCAAGGGGCACCACTGCAAGAGAAATACCAATTTTAGGCCCCAGGGGATCCCTTTATCTTAATCAGTCTCTTTTTTTTTTTTTTTTTAAAGATTTATTTATTTATTCATACAAGCACTGGGTACAGTCAGAAGCACGGGAGGGCTAGAGAATTCACCAGAGCCAGAGCGGGGAACAGAACAGGCAGAAGGACCGAAGGACACTGCTGAGAGGAGCAGCGGGCGGCAGGAGAGGTCTGCGCGCCATGTGGGACCCTCACCCAGTGGCCGGGGATTGAACCGGCGCTGCAGAGGCTGCAGGCAACTTCGCAACCCAGCGCTCAACCACTGCGCCACCGGGGGAGGCCCTTAATCAGTCTCTTAATGGGAGAATTTCTTCTGAGTGGCAGGGTCTGCTTTCCCTGGTGCAGAGAAGAAAAAGACAGTGAAGAAAGGAAGCAGCAGCAGTGTGGGGAGCTGTCAGCCCCAGGCCTAGCCTTCAGTTTTAAAGCATCCCAAGGGGGCCCAGCGGGAGCCAGCCCCCCTGGGGACGTAACTGACGCACTTCTCTGGGGGTTGGCTTAAGTCTGGTGGGATCTTAGTGAGCAAACACTGCTTGCCCAGGAGTCTTAACATAGTCAGCGGCCACCGTGATCTGGGCTCTGCCCACACCCAGTCTTGGGAATCAAAACATTCCACCCAGAAGCAGAAGGAAGAGCTGTCAGCCTCCCCTGTGAGTCATCAGCAGTGAACAGCCAAGGGCGGCTTCGGCTGTGTGACCTGGAGTAAATGACTTACCATCTCTGAGCCTCGGAGGCTGAGCACAGAGAAGCTGTTTGGTCTCCAGGCAGGACCCCCCAAGCTGCTCCCTGCGGTGTAAAAGCCTAAAGCTAGACGGGTCTCTGCCCTCATGGAATTACTATAGATGAGCAGTCATGTGTGCCTCTCCATCTTCTGTGGACCCCAAAACACATCCTCACCCTGGGGGCGCTATGTCATCATGATCTGATTATTTGTCAGTCTTCCCTTTAGACCACGAGGTTGTTGGGGGCAGGGAGCACATGGCTCCCCATGGTGTCCCATGTCCCCTGAGTGACTTAAGGGCCAGTGTGAGTTCAGACATTCATTCCCAAAGGCTCTTCTGAAATGATTTCTCTTCTGAATACCCAGAGTGCTCTGTACCTTGCCCAGGTATTTGCCACATTGACCTTGTTTGACAGTTACCTAGCAGATAGTAGACCCTCCATTAACAGTTATTTCTAAGACCCTGCCTGCCCCCAGAACAAACACATACCTACCCTCACTCACATGCAAACACACTCACCAACACACATGCACGCACACACACACCAGGTTCAGGCTCCTGTAGCAGACCCCATATCAGATCCCTCTTCCTCACAACAAACAAAGCTTTTTCCAGGTAGTCTCGCCAGAAGTGTTTGTTGAAGGAGGGGTGGGCACTGTGGGGACCGCCATCCTTTCTGGCTCAGTCTGTGAGTCCTGCTCAGCAGAGCTCCAACGGCCTCTTGTCAGTTGCTGCCTCCCTTGAGGTCTCCAGGGACACTGGGCTGCTGGACTGAGGTGAGAGAGATGGGTGACACTTGGCACCAGCTGAGACATCTTTCCTGGCTCATTCTACCAGCTTGGGCCTGAGTGTCCCATTTCCTCCAGAGATGCTGCCCCTGGTTCCCTGATGCCCTCAGCTTACCCTGTGTCTGCTCCAAGCCCAGCCCTTCCTCCAGCTCTTTCCTCTTCCTAGACTACCCATCCTGGCCCTGTCTGCATGTCCCAAGCCTTAGCCAGGTTGTAACATCTAACATTAGTACCACTTCTTTCCAGATAACCCCCCCCCATTCCAAATGAAATCCTTTTCTGGGTACTCCACTCCCATAGCACGTTATTGGTCACCCATAGAAATTACATAGCTGCTGTCTACCCTTTTGTCTCTACCCCTTGCACAACACCCCCCCTCTCTGAGCCTCCTCCTGCTGGCACCTACCACCAAGTCTCAATCTGCACATAAATGCTCAGAACTGGTCTCGCCCAGTCTCCTGCTGGGCCGGTTGTAGGGCCTAGGGCCTAGGCCTGGACAAGGGTTTGCCAGCCGCCAATCTCAAGTGCTTGCTTTTAACCAGCAGCAAGAGACAAACAAGGGCTTTTTTAAGGATGGTTCTTTAATGCTTTGAACTATTCTGATGTTCCTGTTTTATTGTTATCGGTTTTTCTGATCATAAAAGTAATACGTGTTTATTGTAAAAATGTGGGAACATTATAGAAGCGTGTGGTCAGAGGGTACATGCATTCGTGCCTCAGAGAGAGCCTCTGTCAATGCCTGGCCTAGATTGTTCTGCCTTGGTTATTCCTTGGCATTGTGTCTGCTATTCATTCTTCCCCAAAGAGGGGGGCTGATGACTCAGCCTCCCGCTGGCGCCTACTGGGGGCCAGTGTTTGCTATTTCTGACTTCAGAGAGGGGGCCAGTTTGTCACCAAGGGTGGCAGCCCATACAGAGAAAGTCTCCATGCTGCCATTTAGAACCTGAAAGAACTGGGCTGGGCCTCTGTGTTTCCCACCTGAGCAATGGGGGGGGGGGGCATGAGAGCAGCCCCAGTGTTTAAGAGGGAGGGTGGGACTAACTGTGGGACAGCGTTGGGAACACTCAGTAAAGTTGAGATTCTGCATATGATTTGGTAGTGAGAGATTATTATCGCTGTTATGCCCAATGTCTAGGGTTTCACTATTTTGTCCTTCTTTGTCTATGTGAATATGCATGTGTGTATATCTGGGCTTATGAAACAGCCTCACGGGAACGGCTGTGAGTATAGAAGGCCACGATGGGGCCTCCCTAGTGGCGCAGCGGGTTGAGTATAGTGCTGTGGAGCTGTCCACAGCCTCTGCAGCACTGGTTCAATTCACGGTCAGCCAGGGAGATACCCACATGGTGCGGCAGACCTCTCCTATCTGTCCTGCTGCTCCCCTCAGCAGTGCCTTCGGTCCATCTGCCTGCTCTGCTCCCCGCTCTGTCTCTGGTGAATCCTCTCATCCTCCCGCATCTCTGGCCTGTACCCCAGCTCTTGTATAAATAAATAAATAAATAAATAAATAAATAAATAAATAAATAAATCTCATATAAGAAAAAAAAAAAGAAGGCCATGATGGGTCTCACGACGATGCCACCTTGGAACAGAGTGTGTATCTAGGGTCCTCCGGGTTCACAGGAGAGCTGAGAGCTGAGCAAAGATGCTGAGCTGAAAGTGTCTGAGTCTAGTCTATGGAGAACATGTTTGCTTTCCTTTTAGGAGCTGTGTCCCCCAAGTTTCTGTCAGAGTATGCAGGGGAGATCCATGCTGCCAGGCCCTTCTCTGTCTTTCCCCACTGCATCCCCCTGCTGAGAGAGGGATGTGTTTTCTTTGTGGGTCTTGGGGACATTGGTGCTGTGGAAAGTGGTGACAGTAGGCACGGGGTGGGTGGGTGGAAGGCGGGGAGAGGTGTGCTTTGGCAGGAAGGAGGTGGTTGAAAAGTAGAAGAGGCCTTGGCCAGAGCCCACTCAGTTCCCCCTCCCTCCACCTCACCTCGGACTCCCTGAGATCCTCAGGGAGCTCCTGAGGCAGATGCAGCATCTGGGGGGCAGGAACTGGGCTAGAGAGGTAAAGTTGCAAGTGAACTCTTCAGACATCACTGAGTTCTCCCTTGCTTTTCCTCAGGGCTGCAGCTAAAGCTGTTCCTGAAAGTGGCATGTGCACCTGCCTCTTCCCCCAAATTAATCAGGAACTTCCAGCCTTCACCCATCTCCCCATTTGAGCCTTTACCTGTTGGTCTTTTGCAGCCAGACGCCACTCCAGGGTCCGGCCCAAGGTGATGCTCCTAAACCATGGCTCGCCCACAAACACGGTCAGCCGGCCACTGAATGAGAATGCCCTGACCCCACTGACAGAGCAAGAAGGGGAGGCCTACCTGGAGAAGTGTGGCAGCGTCCGGCGGCACACGGTGGCCAACGCCCACTCGGACATCCAGCTACTGGCCATGGCCACCATGATGCACTCGGGCCTCGGGGAGGAGCCGGGGGGTGAGGACAAATGCCTGCTCCTGCCACCCAACTTCTCCCCGCCCCACCGGCAGTGCTCCAGCGAGCCCAACATCACCGACAGCCCTGATGAGCTGGCAGAGGTACCAGGGGGCGACCAGGAGCACTCGGACCTGAACTGTGCTTCCCTCAGCTGAGTGCCTCCTCAGACTTCTGAGCTCCTGCCCAGCAACCGAGATGAGGACGGATCCAACTGTGGGTCTCCCGGGGACTCTGCTCTGGGCAACACTGCCTTATTTCTTTCTGGGTCCAGGCCTGGCCTAAGTGCCCCGGGGGAAATCCCTTTTGACATCCACACAGACACAATGGCCCAGCGTCCACTTTCTAACTTGCAGCCTTACCTGATTCACATCCTCATCTCTGGGCCCTGTTCCCTCAGTCGTGGGGCTGCCCGCTGCACCCCCGTGCCCCTGGCATTCTTACCACAGCGGGCATCGTCAGGACCTCACAGAGCCAGCATAGGTGTGTTGTTGGCTTTGAGGCTTCCTCGTTGGGTTCTTGTGATAAGAGGCTTTTGGGTGAAAAGAGGTAGTAGAGAGGGGTCACCCCCCTCCGCTTTCTGTGCAGCGCCCTCCAAGCTTTTGCTGGACATGCATCTTCCTAATTTAATTTCAGAATTACTGGGAAAGAATTGCCCCCTGGTGGGTCAGGGGCCCTCCTCACTTATCTCAGATCCTACATGCTGCCTCCACAAACATCTTTCACTCACAGGGTGAGAGAGACCCCGTCCTTCATTAAGCCTGGGCATTTCCCTCCCAGGCTGCCTTCCAAGCTCAAGGAGACTAACCTTCCTGGTGGAGTAGCTGGTGTCCTCATCCCTCTCTCATTTCACAAATGGACCATTTTCCTGATGTGAGTCAGGGGCCAGCTGATACCAACCAACTAGACTGTTCCTGGATTTGACTTGAATTTTTTAAATGTGCATCATTTCAAAAAAAAAATTGTTTGCAAATATTTGCACATAGGGTCTTGCACTGTTCATTTCCAAGGGGGTACGTCTTCAAACTGAAAAATAAGCAAACCCCCATAGGAGGGGAGACTGTCAGTGGTTCAGGGTGAAAGTGATTGGTGGTTGTTGAGGCTCAGAGGCTGGAGCTCTGGAAATGGCTGTGGTATGAGTGTTACGGTTATTCAGAAAAGCAGTAGTGAGCTAGGGAGGCTCCACGCGCCTCTTGAGCAGAGGGTTGCAGCAAAGGGAACGTCTGGGTGCTTTACACTGGATGAGGTAGGGGCAGGTGAACAGGAACTTTTGGGGAGATGTTCATTCCCTGTGATTAAAGAAGTGCCTGGAATGTTTAATATGTGAGGTCTAAACATGCTGCTTGGGGCAGCAGGCTGTGGTACTGGGCTGTATCCGTAACACTGCTTCCTCCAGATTGGGGCTTTCTGTCCAGCACAAACCCCTGTGATCTTCTCTTTGTATTTGACTGTTGACTCTACTGATAACAGCTTCAGAAAAAAAGAGAGCTCACTGGCCCTCCTGGCTTCTTCTAGGTATCCTGTTAGTCTTGAGAAAGTTTGTTTATAAAATCTCAGAGACATGAGCCAGCTTGGCTTCCAGTATGGCAGGAGGTGGCTGGGAGAGGTTGGGAACAGTTTGAGCTGCCAACAGGGGGAGAGACCGTCTAAGCTCATCTAAGCCCTGATATTTTTTCCCTCTGGGTGAAGATCTGAAATGTGACCAGACTTGTGCTTTTGATGACTTATAACATGGAAATTTTGTTTAAAAAGTTGTTTTATTTTTATTCTTCTAAGAGAGTGATAGAAGAGAAGTGTCCAAAGGGGATCTGAGAATTTCAAACAAAAATAATCTGTGTATTTGTTGAATGAAGTCCTCAAACAGGTTGACATGTATTAGTAAATGAAACATTAGTAGGTAACAACATGATGGTTTATTTAACTGCTGGCTTCTGTCCTTGTTAGTGCACTAGCACTTGGGGTGAGTATTTATGGATCCAGGCAAAATAAATAATTATGCTTGGGTTTGCTTTTTCAGTTTCAACTCCAGTGGTACATGTTTTTAAATGTCTTTTTCATATACTACATGCCTCTAATGAAGACAGCAGTCATCAGTTAAATATATAAGCTCTGAGGTTGAGATGGAATATCAGTACAGACCTAGTGTATTTCATTGCTGATGACTGTCAGTTTAGTTCACGACTTTGCCTTTGAACACACCTGATATTTGTACGGTAAATATTTCAAACCCTACATGTAAAGTTTTTGCTGATGTTTATGGGCATTTTAGCCATCAGAGCTGTTGTGAGAGTGATAGCTAGAGTGTTTTTAACCACTGTTTCTCCCCTCTGAGCTGAAGATTCATTTTTGTTATTTAAACTAGATCTTCCTGTGACTGAGGTCTAATGACAGGAATCCATCACAACTCTAATCTCTAGCTAACAAACCAAAAACCTTTCGTGTGTTCTGAAATGGATTCAATAAACATTTTATACATATTACCTGGTCCCAAGCTGCATGTCTTGATGAAATTGACAACCCACCAGGTCTTTCTGCATCCTGTCCTCACCTCCCTGTGCCTGCCTGCTCTTCCTGCCTGCACCAGGGCTTTGCAGCAGAGTAGTCTTATCTCCACCAACCACCCCTGGGCTTTGTCTGACATTCTCAGCTGCAATGGAAAGTCATTTCCTGGAGAAATAGCACTGTCTCCAGAGCTTGGAAAGCACTGAACAAAGTCTGAAGGCGAGGCCTGTCTTCTAAACCTATGCAGCCACTCATCCTTGAGCATTTGGCCTAGAGGGAACACTTAACCGTGTTTACTCAGAGAGCATCTCCTCAGAGATCCCCCTCCGGCTCTGTTTGGCAGAGGGAATTTACAATACAGGTGACCCTTGAACTATGTGGGGGTTAGGAACACTGACCCTCCATGCAGTCAAATATCCACATATACCTCTTGCAGCCCCCCACCCCCCTCCAATTTAACTACTGAAACCTCCTGTTGCCCAGAAGCCTTATTTCTGGTAACAACGCATATTTCATATGTTCCATATATTATATACTCTATTCTTAGAACAAAATAAGCTCGGGGAAGAGAACTTTAAGAAAATCGTAAGGAAGAGAGTGTATATTTACAGACATTTAAGTCTTGTATTTACTGATACTTATGTGAGCTTATATCATCTGTTTAAAAGAACATCCCTGTTGACAAGCAGGCCCTCCCAGTTCAAATCCATATTATCCAAGATGATTTGGATGGGCTGGATTCTCCATCCCTTCCATCCACTATTTGCAGAAAGGAACTTCACTCCCTTCCTTTCTCCCAGGCAGGAGCCCTCCCCAGGCTGCTCTCTCTAACGAAGCATCTTCCAACTGTGGCTTCTTGCCAGGTGAACACAGATGGGAACCAGGCCTCAAAGTTTATGCTCTTTGCATATATTTTTCTTGAAGGGCTGTGTAAGGGTCAGGACACAGTGCAGGTTTTCTGATCCAGCAGACCGGGTAAAGGAGGAGTCAGAGTCCTCAGTGGTTTTTGCAGGTCTTTTATTGGGATTACCAGGTACACGGCAGGCAGGGGTGCTAGGGGGCCGGGAGGCTGGCAGGCCTCCCAGCCCCCAGCAAGTCTTCACTCTATCTGGGTTCTTCGGCCTTCTCTCAGCTTCGGCTTCTCTTTCAGCTTCTGCTACTGCTCGGCTTCTTCTGGCATCCCTGTGACGCCGCCCTTAAAAGCCCAGTCTTAGCCCAGGTGAATCCCATCTACCGATGCCCACACCCTACTCCAGGCGCCCGCCATCAGGCATGCATTCAGGACCGCAAGGATCCATCATCTGTCCTGATGGCGGGAGGGCAGAAAAGCCTGACATTTTTCCTTACCCTACAGGCTGAAGCAGGATTAGCATGAGATCTCCAAAGGCTTTGGAAGGACATTCAAAGAGGTGTGACCTGGACGGATGGAAAAATCTTGAGGTTAGGAAGGCAACTGGGTACATTTTTGTTGAAGCTTCAGAGGTTGAAACGAAGGAAAGGAGCCACTGAGCACGATGTCTCAGTAGGTTTCCTGACTCCTGTGGGCCCCCAAGTTCACTCATCCATCCACTCATCCACCTGTCAAATAATGGTGGAGCTGCGGCTTGTGTAGGCACTTTTCTTGGTGCTGGGGATGCAATGGCGGTCAGATAACCAAAGACCTGCTCTCTGGGAGCTTACAATCTAGTGGACGAAGAGGGCCCACAGGTCAGCACAGAGAGCAGATCTTTGGTTATCTGACCATTATTGCAGGTTTTTCTAATAATGAACAGCATCGGATGAAATAAAATAGCAAGATGCAGTGACAAGAGAGTGATGAGGTTAACTTTAGGTAAGGAGGCTAGAGTAGTCATCTAAAAGTTGATTTGAGTCAGCTGAGACTTAAATGATAAGGAGTTGGCCTTTCATTTCCTATCATGGCCATAACAAATCACCACAAACCAGCGCATGAATTTATGAGCTCACAACTCTCACTAGTTAAAAGGAAGGCACTGGCCGGCGCATTTCCTTCTGGAGGCTCTAAGGAAGACTCCATTTCGTGCCTTTGCCAGCTCCTAGAGGCAGTCCGTGTTCCTTGGCTCGTGGGCCCCTTCTTTCGTCTTCAATCCAGCAAAGGTGGGTTGAATCCCTCTCACTTCCTACTGTGCCAGCCTACGTGTTGCCTCTTCCTTCCACACGTGAGGACCTTATGAGGGTCCAGGCCCACCCAGATCATCTCAGATAATCTCCCTCTCAGTGTTTCCATGGGTGCTGCCCCTGCTGCCTCCTCTGCTCACATGTCTCAGTAGGAGAAAAGACCAGTCCTGTCCAGTCCTAGATATCTACCCCACGAATGAAAAAACACTAATTCAAGGGGCGTGTGCACACTTACGTTCACTGTAGCTCCATTTTCAATAGCCAATCTCTGGAAACAACCTAAGTGCCCAAAGACAGATGAGTCATTTAGAAAGATGAGGTACATATTATCTATATGATGTAATACTACTCAGCTATAAAAAATTAAACACTTGCTATTTGAAACAACAGATGGAACTGGAGGGGATAATACTGAGCAAAATAAGTCAGAAAGAGAAAGACTAATACCAGGTGGTTTCAATTATTTGTGGACTATGAAGAGACAAGAAAGCGGTCAGAAAAACCAAGCCAATAACAAAACCTAAAAATCTGACTACAGGATTGAGGCTACCAAGGTGGAGGGGAGAGAGCAGAGGTGTGAGGGAGCACCATGGACTATGGTGGAGAAGCTGTGGTGGTGGGTACTTTGTGGTAGCTATGGTATGGTAGCATGCATCTGAAGATGTGTGAACCTAGATCTCTAAATCAAGTACAGTGTTGTAAGCCAATGTTCTCTCAATTAAAAAATGAAAATATTTAATAAGCTTGGTGATTAGTAATAATTGAGTAAATGATACAATCAATAATTTTGTGTTTAGAGTCAGTCTTCAATTTTTAAAAACAAGTTTAAAAATCCTTTAAAAGGCTTTTAAGTTAAACTTACCAATTTTATTATTCTATTTATAAGTCTAGCAAATTTGGGCAATAATTTTAGAGGAGGTTTTAAATAATGTTTGGTCCTATTTACAAGCTTAGCACAGCACTCCAAACACTTTTAAACGCATTTATAGGTGTAATAGGTTTATTTCTTTTCAAGTACTTAAGTTTTTCTGACAGCATGCAAAATCCAAATCCTAAATTCTTATAGAGACTAACAAACTTATAAATAAAGGAAATTTTAAATGTTTTTACACTCTACTTAAGCTTAGATGTCACCATAAAAAAGTCACAAGTCTAAATTAATTATTCAATTACACATTTTAAAGTGGAGTCATAAAACTGTCACTCAAATAGGCCTTTATTCTCTTAAATATCACATGTCTAAAACACCCAATATGCATAATTTCTTCCTAACATAAAAAATGTCAGTGCTCTCATTTTATTTTAAATCTCTCTACATTTCAGCCTAAATCTTCCTGGTGGGCTGGTTGTTAATCTATTGTTTCTCAGCTTCAAGCCTTTTGTAGAAAGCAAGTCCTCAGATGATGTCTTTATAACAATAATGGGGGGAAAAATGGATTCCTGGCCTGGGCCACTGTCTCTATGGAGTTTGCACGTTCTTCCCATGTCTATGTGGGTTGTTTCTTGGTTCTCTGGTTTCTTCCCACATCCCAAAGTTGTGCACATTAGTTTCAATGGCTTGTCTCAGTTGATGTGCCCAAAGAAGTGATGCTGTAGATGATTGTCTTGTATAATCGCCTCCGTTCTTCTGTCTACTTAAAAAATAAGCCTTTCTCACCAAGTCACTCATTAAATGGGTTCTTAATTTCTCTGACCCTTTTGACCTAGGTCCAATAACTTTTGAGAAGAAACCTAAGCTTTGTAACTATCTTGAAGGTTACAGACTTCTTTTGTTTTTTTTTAAAGGTTTATTTATTTGTGCATACAAGAGCTGGGGTGCAGGCCAGAGGTGCAGGGAGTAAAAGTATTCACTAGAGACAGAGTGGGGAGCAGAACAGGCAGAACCACTGAAATACACTGCTGAAAGGAGCAGCAGGTGAGACAAGAGAGGTCTGCTGCGCCAAATGGGTAGCTCCCTGGCCGGCCAAAGATCGAACTTGTGCTGCAGAGGCTGAGGATAGCTTCATAGTGCTGCATCTTAACCCCTTGCACCACCAGGGAGACCACAAGGTAATAGACTTCTGAACACTCAAATTCTCAGGACCACGTAACTTTTTAACGAATACCTAAACTTCAGTCTGCTATTAGCTGAATGTCTTAGATAGCTTTGTCTGCGGTCCAATGTATGAGGTCATTCCATTCTTGGTAGACTAAGAGCAAATCAATTGCATGCCAACAGAAACTTTTGCTATCCCTCTAAGGCCGTTTTGAGATGGACTCAATAAGTGAAAACAGTACAGGGCTTCTGGCTTTGGCCATAAGGAAAGGCTTGTATCAAATTATCTTCCTGCCAAAATAATTATAAAAGCTGGGCAAAATATATAAAGCAACCATTTGAGGGACTGGAGGGCACCCAATGAGGGTAGTATCTGGTGGCCAAGCTGCGGGTCCATCCTGGTTTTTCCCGAGGGCATTTTTCCAAATCACTGGTGTGGGGATAGTCAGGTGGGAGAAGTGGGGGAGAGCAGAAAACTGTCTTCCTGAGCTGAGGCCAGAGTTTAAGGCTGCCAGAGTAGCTGCAATTTGAAGGGGGTTATGGGGAGAAATAAATGACAACTCTACATACACATTCCCCTCAAGTCGTTGGCTGACTCCTAAGCTGAGCATAGAGGGAAAACCCTTGGAAACCCAATAGAACACTTCAGCCAGGAAGCTAAAGAGCTGAATAGATTTTAGCTGTTGTACAATGCTGAGGAAACAGTTCAAGTTCCACCAAAGTGGACAGATTTTTGGCAAACATCCTGGGCTTTTGGTTGAGACTTCAAAGGGTCACATAATAGGAGCAAGCTAGCAAGTATGATAGATTTAAACACTACTGTACCATGTCAGTAATTACATTAAATGAAAATAGAATAAACACTCCAATAAAAAGAAAAATATCTTCAAACTAGATTAAAAAATAATAATTTGTTACGTTTAAGAGACATACTTTAAATATTAGGACACAGAAAGAATAAAAATAAAGGGATGAGGAAACATACACCATATAAAAGCTAGCAAAAAAAATGATCTTACTAATTTAGACTCATAGAAATTCATAATATAAATGGTCAATTCAAAAGGAAGGTATAAATTATAATACATAAATTTTCATTTTTTGGTCATCAACTGTATGCCAACAAATTTTCCAATCTAAGTATTTCACATTCATTACTTTGCGTAATCCTCTGAGAAATTTTATGAAGTAAAGTTTATCATCCTTATTATATGAGCAAATGGAAGCTCAGAGAGGCTGAGCCATTTTCCTGAGGTCACACAACTAGAAAATGGTAGAGACGAGATTCCAACCTGGCTCTGTCTGATCTCCCACCAAAGAATTGTT